TTAGATAACTTAGTGGCAAAGGTCTGTTTTGAGAGGAAATTATAAGCTTTTATGTACTTCCTTTCAGTGGTTTTTTTCAGCAAAATATATTAGAAAGTTATAGGAAAGGGAAATCCAAATGAAAACCTCAATGAGATACCACCTCACACCCGTCAGAATGGCTAAAATTAACAAGTCAGGAAACGACAGATGTTGGCGGGGATGTGGAGAAAGGGGAACCCTCCTACACTGTTGGTGGGAATGCAAGCTGGTGCAGCCACTCTGGAAAACAGTAGGGAAGTTCCTCAAACAGTTGAAATTAGAGCTACCCTATGACCCAGCAATTGCACTACTGGGTATTTACCCCAAAGATACAAATGTAGGGATCCAAAGGGGTACGTGGACCCCAACGTTTATAGCAGCAATATCCACAATAGCCAAACTGTGGAAAGAGCCAAGATGTCCATCAACAGATGAATGGATAAAGAAGAGGTGGTATATATATACAATGGAATATTATGCATCCATCAAAAGGAATGAGATCTTGCCATTTGCAATGACGTGGATGGAACTGGAGGGTGTTATGCTGAGCGAAATAACTCAATTAGAGAAAGACATGTATCATATGACCTCACTGATATGAGGAATTCTTAATCTTAGGAAACAAACTGAGGGTTGCTGGAGTGGTGGGGGGTGGGAGGGATGGGGCGGCTGGGTGATAGACATTGGGGAGGTTATGTGCTATGGTGAGCGCTGTGAATTGTGCTGTTGAATCACAGATCTGTATCTCTGAAACAAGTAATACATTATATATTAGAAAAAAAAAAGAAGATAGCAGGAGCGGAAGAATGAAGAGGGGAAAATCGGAGGGGGAGATGAACCATGAGAGACGATGGACTCTGAAAAACAAACTGAGGGCTCTAGAGGGCAGGGGGGTGCGAGGATGGGTTAGCCTGGTGATGGGTATTAAAGAGGGCATGTTCTGCATGGAGCACTGGGTGTTATATGCAAATAATGAATCATGGAACACTACATCAAAAACTAATGATGTAATGTATGGTGATTAACATAACATAATAATAAAAATATTTTAAAAATGAATAAAAATAAAAAAAAAAGTTATAGGAAAAACAATGCCACCAAGAACTCTTAGTGTTCACCTGGAAGTGAGGACCAAGCATAATATCCTACTCAGACGTGCAGCCAAGTTGAAAAGGGAAATTAACTCTTGTGGTGGATCATTTCCAAAGATGACCACCAAACAATTCCCTCTATCCCTGTACACACGTCACTCCTCTGATCAAGAGGTGGAGCCTATTTTCCCCCGGACTGGTCTTATAACTTGGTTTGTCAATAGAATGAGCCAAAAGGGACATTCTAGTACTCCTAAGAACTACAAGAACTTTAAGGCCTTAAGACTTGTAGTTTTGGGGCGCCTGGATGGCACAGTCCGTTAAGCATCCAACTCTTGGTTTCGGCTCAGACAATGATCTCAGGGTCATGAGATCGAGCCCTGCATCAGGCTCTGAGCTCAGTATGGAGTCTGCTTGGAATTCTCTCTCCCTCTCCCTCTGCCCCTCCCTCTCGTGCATGCTCTCTCGCTCTCTCTCAAAATAAATAAATAAATCTTAAAAAAAAGAAGACTTGTAGTTTCTGCTTTTGTGTTTTTGGGAAGCAGTTGACAGGTTAAAAAGCTCAGGCTGAGCCACTAAATAAGAAGAGAGAGGCCTAGCCAGCCCCCAACCCTTCCAGCAGAGGCCAGACGTGTCTGTGATACCATCTTGGACGGTCCAGCCCCAGCTGAGCTCCCAGGTGAGTACAGCCAACACCACATCTAGCAGATGCAGCTGGGCTAGCGGAGCCCAGCCAACTCACAGAATCCATGAGAAGTAAGAAGTTGTTATTGTCTTAAGCCACTAAGTTTTGAGGAAGTTTATTACACCATAATATAGATAACTGAGATTTATTTAAGAATTCAACCCATCTCAGGGTGCCTGGGTGGCTCAGTCATTAAGCGTCTGCCTTCCGCTCAGGTCATGATCCCAGGGTCCTGGGATCAAGCCCCCCATCAGGCTCTCTGCTCCGCAGGAAGCCTGCTTCTCCCTCTCCCACTCCCCCTGCTTGTGTTCCCTCTCTTACTGTGTCTCTCTCTGTCAAATAAATCAATAAAATCTAAAAGAAAAAAAAAAAGAATTCAACCCATCTCAGTCAAAGATATCAATAATCTGGATCCCAGATAACCTCTTAATTTGCCCAGTTTTTGTTTGAATGGTCCTTTTGTTACTTGAGTGTTCTATATTGATCTCAACCATGAATTCCAGACAGTTCTGACTTCAAATATTATTATCACATAGTTTCCATAAGAACAAAATTATTAGAGCTTACTTTGAGTTCAGAAACTGACTGCATTATCTATATTATTCCCTTAATATAGCTAATGCTTTAACCTCCTCTTTGATTCTGAAGATACTTTGGATTTTATTATTGGTCTGAATTTTAAATTTTACTTTCAAAATGTCCAGTGTCTGTAGTTGCTGTGATAATCTCCCTTTGAATGTGTCTTTGCAAGTTTATTCATGCTTTTCAAATATAAATTCAATGTGAGAGCAATATGTATTTAGACAATAGTATTCATCAGAGGTCACCACTGAAATGGAAGGATTCTCAAGGGATTCAGCTCTAATCCTTCTCTTCCTTACTCTATACAATCTCTGTGTGACTTAATGCCAGTGACTTCAATTAGCATACATAAAATGATGACTCACAAAGCTAGACTTCCCATTTGGACTTCTCTCCTGGGATTCAGATATAGTTCCAAATGTCCACCAGGTATCTCTACTTGGATGTTCCACAGGCTTCACCGACTCAGTATCTCCAAATGAAACTCACTGTCCTCCAAAACTTATTCTTCCTTAATCCTTCACTCACTGAATGATAGCAGCATGCTTCCAGAAATCTGACATGTGGGTCTCCCCACCAGACCAGGAGCCCTAGGTCCCATTAACTCCATATCTCTAAATCTAAGTGGTCATTAAGCATTCTTTCAATTAATAATGAATTAACAATTAAATAAAAACTGGTTCATTCTGGTTCTAGTTACCCCAACAAGAAAGATCAGCCCCTGTCTAACCCAACTAAATGTGTCAATACTTTCAGCACCATCTAGTTGTATCCAAGGCAAGACTTTGTGCAGCATCTTCATACCACCAGCAGGAAGAGTGGGAACCAAATGAGCCACGACAGGCCACATATGCTTGGGAAAATCTTGGCCTCGATTCAACCATGATGCACAGCCTTCTTTACCAGGACTAACAAAGTTCATCTGAATAGGTTACATGATGGACCCACTGCCTCAGTTCCCAAGCCTCTTAGGGGACCAGAACTCTGTTCTGAGCAAAGCATATCACCTTCCTAATTACAGGAAGGAGAACTTTTCCTGGTCATTCATGCTGCCATGTCCCCAAATTATTCTTGTACTTCACAGCTTCACAATATCAAATGGTGCTACCTTTTAGAAAACAAGTTTTTAACATGATTTTTTTTTCTGATCACAAATTCTAGCCAGTTCCAAGAATTCAATGTCAACTCGAAATCTATGGTTTCTTTAAGGCACTGTGATGTTAATCCCTCCTTATTCTTGGGTCATGTATACAAGCCCAAGTCCTGCCTGGCTCATTATGCCCCACTTTGTCTCTGTGTAGCTCCGGAAATCCAGCCTGGTTCAAAGTCAAACCGGGGTGCCTGGGTGGCTCAGTTGGTTAAACGACTGCCTTCAGGTCATGATCCCGGAGTACCGGGATCGAGTCCTGCATCAGGCTCCCTGCTCAGCGGGGAGTCTGCTTCTCCCTCTGACCCTCCCCCCTTCTTGTGCTCTCTCCCAAATAAATAAAATTAATAAAAATAATTCAGCCTCCTTCTCCTTCTCCCACTCCCTCTGCTTGTGTTCCTGCTCTTGCTCTCTCTCTCTCTCTCTCTCTCTCTCTCTCTCTGTCAAATTATTTATTTATTTGACAGAGAGAGAGAGAGCAAGCATGCACAAGCAGGGGAAGCGGCAGGCAGAGGGAGAAGCAGGCTCCCCGCAGAGCAGAGAGCCTGATGTGGGGCTTGATCCCAGGACCCTGGGACCATGATATGAGCCGAAGGCAGATGCTTAACCAACTGAGCCACCCAGGCGCCCCTACAGACATGTCTTAAAAATATTGACCACAAAGCTGTCACTCATGATCCTAACAAGAAAATGAAAGTTTAGGCTGCAAAGACAAACTCAAAATACCTATGACCCAGACTGGTTTGACTTTTTTTTTTTTTATTAATTTTATTTATTTGGGAGAGAGCACAAGAAGGGGGGAGGGTCAGAGGGAGAAGCAGACTCCCCGCTGAGCAGGGAGCCTGATGCAGGACTCGATCCCGGTACTCCGGGATCATGACCTGACCTGAAGGCAGTCGCTTAACCAACTGAGCCACCCAGGCACCCTGGTTTGACTTTGAACCAGGCTGGATTTCCAGAGCTACACAGAGACAAAGTGGGGCATAATGAGCCAGGCAGGACTTGGGCTTGTATACATGACCCAAGAATAAGGAGGGATTAACATCACAGTGCCTTAAAGAAACCATAGATTTCGAGTTGACATTGAATTCTTGGAACTGGCTAGAATTTGTGATCAGAAAAAAAAATCATGTTAAAAACTTGTTTTCTAAAAGGTAGCACCTTTTAGAGCCACCCAGGTGCCCCAAAACAAAACACTTAAAAAAAAAAAAGACGTCTGTAATAACTGCTTTTATATTCCAGATTAATTTATAGCATCTTAAATAATAAATTATTTGGTCTGGCAATTTCTTTATAAAATCTAGCATAATCTCAGATATACATGAGACATACTCTGAGTTTCTAATTCTAGATTCTTAAAAGTAACTCTGTTTTTCATTCAAATACATTTGTTTTTCTGGAGTTTCGGGTGATTATAATGCGTTCGTTCAAAATATTCATATTGCTTTTCCCTGCTGATAGTGCTCTTGCAAGCATGGTGAATGTTCCTAAAAGCTGCTGGACTTTACGTAAGAGGTGTGGCAAGCAGCAGCCCCACAAAATGACCCAATACAAGAAGGACAAGGATGCTCTGTACGCCCAGGGAAAGCAGCATTATGACAGGCAGCAGAGTAGCTATGATTGGCACACTAAGCCGATTTTCTGGAAAAAAAACCCTAAAACTACAAAGAGGATTGTGAAGCTTGAATGTGTTGAACCCAACTGCAGATCTAAGAAAATGCTGGCTACTGAGAGATGCAAGAATTTTGAATTGGGAGGAGAGAAGAAGAGAAAGAGCCAAGTGATCCAGTTCTAAGCTTCATATTTGGTTTTATGAAGACAATAAGATTTTGAGGTCATGTTCAAAATGAAAAAAAAAATACTCTTTATTAAAACAGCACTTCCCAATCTCCTAATATTTGCTTAAAAAAAAAGAAATTTAATCTCCCTAAAAACAATTTTTGGCATTAAAATTCATTACATCTGTTTACACAGTTATGGGGAAAACTCAACAAAAACTACCAATCTATTTAACATCTCGTGCTTGATGAAGCACATTAGAACATGAAATACAACATTTTGGAACACAAATATACAGTCAAAAGACAGGTCCTTTCATTACCAGGCTGTGTTGGTACTTTTATAACAAATCTTATCACCCTCTCCCCATCTTTGCCTTTCCATACATAGTCTATAAAACTATGCTATTGTAAATTGAACTAATTAGGGAGGGAAAATTTAACACATTTGTGAAATGTGCATTATAAATAAATCAATGCCAATGTGCTATCAGCAAAGGTCTTAACAGATCTACTCTACTCAATAACATAAAATAAACATAGTAACAGTTTACATGAGAATGGATAAAGTTCACAAGTATCAGAAAATAACAATTCAGTTTAGCAAATATTTTCATTAAATTCTAAAAATATTCTTTAGATCTATAAATTTAATGCACTTCCTATCAAAATCCCAACTGCCTTTTTCCCCAGAAATTAACAAACTGATCCTAAAATTCATATAGAAATGCAAAAAACAAACATAATAGCCAAAAAAATCTGGAAAAGAAGAACGAAGTTGGTAAACCCACATTTCCCAATTTCTAAATTTACTGGAAAGTTACAGTAATCAAGACAGAACTGTAGAACTGGCATATGGATATATACATATCTATAATAATGGATTAGAATTTCAAGTCAAGAAATAAGCCCTTACACTTATGGTCAATTGATTCTTGACAAGAATGGCAAGTGGAGGAAAGATAGTCGTTTTCCACATCTGAAGATGGGACAACATGCAAAAGAGTGAAGTAGGACCCCTACCTCACACTACACAGAAAAATTAACTTAAAATGGATCATATACTGGGGTACCTGGGTGGCTCAGTTGGTTAAGCATCTGCCTTCAGCTCAGGTCATATCTCAGGGTCCTGGGATGGAGTCCTGCATCGGGCTCCCTGCAGAGAAGCTCCCTGCTTCTGCCTCTGCCTTCCCCCCAAGAATAAATAAATAAAATCTTAAAAAAAATGGATCATAGACCTAAATGTAACAGCTAAAACCATAAAACACTTACAAGAAATAATAGGCATACATCTTCATGCCCTCTGGTTAGGAATGATTTCTCAGATATAACACCAAAAACATAAGTGACAAAAGAAAAATAAATAAATCAGATATCATCAAGATTAATAATTGTGTGCTTCAAAGTACACCATCAAAAAAGCAAAAATAAACCCAGAGAATAAGAGAAAACATTTGCAAATCATATATCTGACTGATATCCAGAATATGCAAAAAACTCTTACTACTCAATAATAAAAAGACTAATAATTAAAAAGATGGGAAAAGGATTTGAATAGACACTTTTCCAAAGAAGATATACAAATGACCAATAAGCACATGAAAAGATGCTCAAGATCATTAGTCATCAGGGAAATGCAAATCAAAACCACTATGAGATACCAACTCACACCCACTAGGATAGCTATAATCAAAAAGACAATAACAAGTGTTGCAGAGGAAGTGGAAAAACTGGAACCCTCATACACTGCTGGTATGAATATAAAATGGTACAGCTGCTTTGGAAAAGCAGTTGGGCAATTCAAAGAGCTGAAAATTGTGTTGCCATATGATCCAGCAATTTGACTCCTAGGTATATATACCCAAGAGAAATGAAAATATAAGTCCACATAAAAACTTGCACACAGGGGCACCTGAGTGGCTCAGTCCGTTAAACGTCTGCCTTTGGCTCAGGTCATGATCCCAGGGTCCTGTGATCGATCAAGCCCCGCATTGGGCTGCCTGCTCAGCCGGGAGCCTGTTTGTCCCTCTCTGTCTGCCTCTCCCCCCACTGGTGCTCGCTCTCTCATTCTCGCAAGTAAATAAATATAATCTTTTAAAAGAAAAACCTGCACACAGGGACACCTCGGTGGCTCAGTCAGTTGAGTGTCTGACTCTTGATTTTGGCTCAGGTCATGATCTCAGGGTCCTATAATCAAGCCCAGATTTAGGCTCCATGCTTAGTGGGGTTTCTGCTTAAGATTCTCTCTCTCCCTCTACCTCTGCCCCTCCACACCCCACCGCCCACTCTCTCTCAAGTAAATAAATATTTTTAAAAAAACACTTGGGGCACCTGGGTGGCTCAGTTGGTTAAGCATCTGCCTTTAGCTCAGGTCATGATCGCAGGGTCCTGGGATCGAGCCCTGAGTCGGGCTCCCTGCTCAGCGGGGAGTCTCCTTCTCCCTCTCCCTCTGACCCTTGCTCGTGCTCTCTCTTCTCGCTGCTTCTATCTCAAATAAATAAATAAAATCTTAAAAAAAAAAAAAGGATATAACTCAGGAACAGCCAAATGGAAGAGATACATAGGGCAAGGCATGGAGAAAGGGTGCAGAGCTTCCATGCTCTCTCCAAACTAACCACTCTCCCAGCACCTCCACTTGTTCACCAACCCAGAAGCTCTCCAAACCCTGCCCCTCCTTTCATGTTTTTATGGAGGCTTCATTATATAGGCACGATTGATTAAAGAACTGGCCACTGGCAACTGATTCAACCTCTAGCGCCCCTCCTCTCCCCAGAGGTTAGTGGGTGGGACTGAAAGTTCCAACCCTCCAATCACATGGCTGGCTTCCCTGGCAACCAGCCCCCATCCGTAGGTGTTTTAAAAAACCCACCTCATTAACATAACAAAGGACGGCCACTGTCATACTCTTTACTTAGGAAGTTCCAAGGTTTTTTAAAAAAGATTATTTATTTGAGAGAGAGAGAGGGAAAAAAAGAGAGAAAGAGAGAGAGAGAGAGCGCGCCTGCACACATGTGCTTGTGCACGTTCTACTGAGGGGTGGGGCAGAGTGAGAGAATCTTCAAGCAGACTCCCTGCAGGCTGATGAGGGGCTTGATGTCACTATCTATGAGATCATGACCTGAGCTGAAACCAAAAATTGGATGCTCAACCGACTGAGCCAACTAGGCAGCCCAGGAAAGGTTTTTAGGAGCTCTGTGCTAGAAATGGGGGCAAGGACCAAATATATATCTATTATCTATCATCAATCACAACATCACTTTCATACAATGGAGTATTATTTGGCAATAAACAGAATAAAGTACTAATGGGTAAACCTTGAAAACATTATGCCAAGTGATAAGTGAAAGAACTCAGTGACAAAACACATACTATATGATTCCATTGATATGAAATGTCCAGAACAGGCAAATCCATAGAGACAGAAAGTAGATTAGTGATTTCTTAGGGCTTGGGGGGACAGAGTAGGGTGGGAGTAGGGAGCAACTGTTAATAGGTCCCAAGTTTCTTTTAGGGGGAATGAAAATTAGATTATGATTATGGTTGTACATATTGTGAATATAACAAAAAAATTATACATTTTAAATAGGTGAATTCCATGGTATGTGAATTATATCTCAATACAGCTGTTAAAAAATAGAAAATGAAAGTAATCATGACACCTTATGTCAAAATTCATTATGAAATCTGAATTAGGGAGTCTGAATTAAGGAAGTTTTATGAACTTTTCCCTCAACAGTTTTGATCTGCAACTGAACATTTTGCAACTGAAATGCCAGCTAAATTAATCCTATTCCTCTCCCCAAGGCAAATCTCATCAAATTCCCCTTCGATTGTTCTTTCCCCAATAAAGATCAGTACTCTTATACTTAAAAGATGCAATCCCAAATGACTCAACACTTATCTCCTGGGTAGCAAGCAGTGTTGACACAAGAAACCATTTTTCCTTTGATTCAGAAGACCTGGTCAGTCTGCAATCTACATTCTGCTTCCTAATAGAATGCTCAGAGAATATTTCTTTACTTCTGTCAGGAATATTTGTGAAAAACTGTGAAATGAACCAAACAAAATTATTTTCTGGGTGTCCCATTTGGTGCACCCTTCCAGGTTATCTGATTCCCTGGGAGCATATGCCTTTCAATGTGTTTGAGTTATTTTACAACTCTGTAAATTGGAGAAAAATGATAATGATGTAAATGATTCACAACCATCAAAATGCAAATGAATAGTTTAGTGGATGGAATGGATTATTGTCTGTAGATCCTGACCAGTTTTGCATCTACTTCTAAATTCTAGTAAGTGCTCAGGCCTAGGGCAGGCTGCCCCACGATATGACACAGGGGCATACTGATTATTCTCAATTAAAGTTATATAAGAAACAGTCAGCGCAAGAACACTCTGACCCTCTTGACCCTTCAGAAAGCAGGAAATAATGTCTTCAGTGGGGAGTCTGCTTCTCCCTCTGACCCCATCTCCTCCTGTGCACTCTCTCTCAAATAAATAAATAAAATCTCAAAAAAAAAAAAAAAGAAAGAAAGAAAGAAAAGAAAAAACAAGACCAAACTGGAGTCACTGAGTCATTTACCCTCCGCAACAGCAAACCAAGCCCATCACAGTTTCAACCTCTCCGAGGAATGTGACCTTTTAACAATCAATGTGAATCTGATGAGCACTAGTAAGATCATCTGCATGATAAAAACCCTGCTGGTTCCCTTCCCACCAAAAAGATGTCCTGGCCTGAAACAATTCTTTCTTTACTTTTGCAACCCTCCTTCCTATAAAAACCTTTTATTTTATACAGCTCCTCTGAGTATCTCTCTACTTGCTAGATGGGAGGCTGCCCAATTCATGAATTGCTTAATAAAGCTAATTAGATCTTCAAATTTACACAGTTGAGTTTCGTTTTATAATACTTCTTGGGTCCCGTATCTATGAGACCTCTGTACATATGAATTCAATGTTTTTTCTCCTGTTAATCTCTTTTGTCAATTTAAGTCTTAGACCAGCTAGAAGAATCTTG